ACATACACGTACGCACATACATAGCACACGCACAGGCACACGCACCTGTCTGCTTCCTCCCCACCCCTAAAAAGACCACTCCACACGGACTCTGTCGGCTCTCCCCACCCACGCTCCTTCCTAACCCGCCCTCCTTCCCGCCCTCCCCGCTCCAGGCCAAGCTAAGTCACCCGGTAAGGCAGGTCTCTTGGGAGAGAATGTTCCCAAAGACAGAAACGGGACGTGAGCCTCTACACTCGGGGGCAGGCAGGCAAGAGACAGCTGAGCAGGCGGGCGGGCGGGCGGCCTCCATTCCTGGTTTGGGTCCCTGATTTCCCGCTCCTGCTGCCCTGCGGGGCCTCCACCCTCCTGGTCCTCTGCCCTCTCCCTCCTCCAGGCGCCCTGCTCAGGAGGCCCGGGAGCTGCCTCTGGTGGGCGACCTGCAGGCGGGAGGCGGCCGCTACTGCCCAGGGACCTCTATCACGTCGTCATCGCCATCCTCGCCAGAGCTGGCCCCCACCTCAGCAGCCTCCTGGGGGTCAAAGGCAGGCACCTGGGGCGGGAGCAGGCCGCCAGCCGGGTAGCCTGCGTGAGAGGACATGTAGCCTGGGTAGACGGACACGCCCCGGGAAAGGTTGGTGGGCAAGACGGGGGAAGGAAAAGGCGCGAACATCCTGGGCTCAGAGAGGAGGGGCTGAGGGAACGGGAGCGCGTAGCTGGGCAGCACCCCTGGGACAGAGGGACTGAGCAGGAAGGAGGGGGTGCTGGCAGTGCCTGAGGTAGCCGTGGAGGAGGAACTGACTGGGCCTGCTGGCACCAGAGGGTCAGTAGTCACTGGAAACACCAGGCGGGCATCTGCCAGCAAATTGGACAGCTGGTAGTAGGAGGGGGAACTGCCCATAAACAGGGAGTTCTCCCCAGCCTGGGAGGTGAAGGGGGTGGTGAGGTTATGGTTTAAGGAGACGGGTGGCATGGCAAACCCGCCCGACACTGGATACCCGTGTTCATAGGGCTGCATGGGGGCTGGCAGATGGCCCTTCCTGGACCTCCGGCGGGCTGACTCCTGGGCAGCAGGCGGTGTCACCGACTTCCTCTTGTGGCCCCTTAAGTCCAACACTGGGTGCCTGTCACCACAGGGCTGGCCAGTCACCAAGAGAGACCTATTGAGGCAATGACCCCCAAGTTGAGGCTCAGTCCCGAGAGCTGTCCCAGGCACAGCACTGCTGTCCACGAGCTGGGCAGGGGGGCCAGGAAGGGCGGCGTTGGAGCTGGGGGAGCTCTGGCGGGACTCCCGGGCAGCAGCCACGTCCGCATACTGCTGCAGCTCGCTGATGATCTCGGGGCTGTCTGGAGAGACGGGCCTGGCCAGCCCCTCAGGGTCGGGTGCTTTGGGTGATGAGGCACTGTGTCTGCCGTTGCTTGTGGACTCGAGAGAAGGCCCCTGGGAACCTGGGGACAAAATGTAGGTAACTGAGAACCAGAATGGCCAGGGAGAGAAGGAAGATATAGGAAAAAGTTCCATGAAAAAAAGAAAATCCCATCCTGTGGTCCCCAAAATTCAAATAGTTTGATGTATAAACATTGCCCTATAAATCTTTCCCAGTCACAAAGGAAGAAATCCTTTGATCTAGGAAACAGGTCTCTCTGTTCCTCAACCTGTGAAACTCCACCATAGTGAGGCCTGAGGTGATGGACATGAAACGCTAAGTCGTCATTCATAACTAGTCAGACTCTTCCAGTAACCAGGATTGAAAGGAAAAAGGGAAATGAAGTTTAAAAGGCCATCACCTTGCCTGGTCGGCATGGCTTAGAGGTTGAGCATTGACCTAGGATCCAGGAGATGGCAGTTTGGTTCCAGTCAGGACAGGGTTTCAGGCTCGATCCCCAGTGGGGGTGGGAGGGGGTGCAGGAGGCAGCCGATCCATGCCTCTCACCATTGATGTTTCTCTCTCCCTCTCCCTTTCCTTCCTCTTTCTGAAACCAATAAAGACATTAAAAAATAAAAAGCCATCCTCCTGGTTTAAAAACCAAACAAGATCCATGGCCATGAAGACTGGGAAACCGGGAGGATGACCATGGCCTGGATGGTGGCCACGCTGGATGTCACTTTCTCAGTGTGAAATGGTGTTCAGTTAGGGAGGAGAATGTCCTTTATCTCAGGATCTGCATGTGAAATATTTAGGGATAAAAATGACACGATGTCTTCCATTTACAAATAGTTCTGATAATAGAAGGGAGAGAGACAGAAGCAAGTGTATGAGGAAGTGAACAGTCATGGATGTAGGCGCAGGCTGCATGGTGCTCGTGGTGCTGCTCTGTCACTTGCCAGTGCAGATGAACGTCTCCGTAACAAAGGCGGGGAAAATAAGCACCTCGCTCTCATACCCCACAGAGGGAGGAAAACTGAGAACCTCTCCCACAGAGGGGAGCCTGGCAAGAGCAGCTCACTTGTCCATGTGCCACATGCACGCTCTGACCTGGCAATCAGTCCCACCCTGAGAACGTATTCTGCAGATGCCCCAGGTGACTGAGCCGGTCCGCAGTGGCGGGGTACAGCAATCTGAACATCCCAGGACAAGGGACTTGGGAACATGCGGTGCTATACCCGCCTAATGGCGTCCTGTGCAAACCCTTGGGAGGCACATCTAAAGCAAAGATATGGCACCACGCTGGGCTACCCTAGCGAGTGAAAAAGGACTATTAGTGTGTTATAGTAAGTGGGCATCCGCTTTAAAAACACAAAGAGAAGCTACACTCGCTTTTTTATCCAGACACACCCCCCTGCACTGAGTGGTGTGCAGAATAGCTCTGGAAACGATAGATGAGAAGTGGGCGGTGGAGGAAACTCACTCCTCACTTTACCCCTTTTGTACATTTTGAACAGTGAACCATGCACACGTTATCGACTCAAAAATAAATTAATCACAAGTGAAGCTAAACCAAAACAAACAAACAAAAATGCCCAGTAGGTCAATGGAAGACAGATGCCACTGTACCTGAGGCAACCATCCGACCATCTTCAGGGGCCTTGGGTTTGCCCGTCGCTCGGACAGCAAAGATCCGCCCGTCGCTGGTGCGGATGTACGTCCCTAAGAAACACAAGGGAGACTGTTAGCTCTACTGCCAGCCCTGGGAACTCCAGGCCTAGGCACTGTGGGCTGGAACAGCTGTACAAGAAGGTCTCACACCCTCTCTCAAGACCTGAAATGAGGAGTGGGGTGATGGAGCTGCAGGCCCACTAATCCATTTCCTCCACAAATGCTCACTGCATCACCACCACGCACAGGCACTGTTCCAGACACTGGTCCTTTAAGGGGGAGGCAGACAGTTATAGCAGAAAACACCAGGAAAAGTCAGATCAATGGAGGAAATGAAGTGCTATGAAGGAGAACCAGGTACCCTGGCCCACGGCCCCCTCCTGGGCTGGAAGGAAGAGGCCTCATGCCTCAATACCCTCTCCCCATAGCATGATAACAGCTGGGTGTGGCTATGACATAAAAATCTTTATTTATAGACGCTAAAATGTGAATTTCATATAATTTTCACATCACAGAATATTATTAATTTTTCCCCCAACCAACTGAAAATGTAAAACCCATTCTTAGCTCACAGGTCCAGTAACAGGAAGCAGGCTAGATCTGGCCGGTGGACCAGCGGCCCTTTACCAACCCCTGCTCTAGGCCAGGAAGAGCCCAGAAAGGGCACAGGTACAATCTTCTGTGTGTCTTGTATTTCATGGCATCTTTTCCCTGAGTCTAAAGGTACTTTGACCCAACAGAGGCCAGGAAGCCTCACAGAGTGAAGGCTGAAGGGAAAGACAGGCTTCGATACTGTCCCGACAATGTCCAGCCCAGATTTCTTATCCCAGCAGTCTCACCTCCCTTTGTCAGGAGGCCAGAGGCAGTGGACTTTTCCAATGAC